CGGTCGCTCCTTCGGTGTCTGGCAGCTGGCAACTGGCAACTGGCAACCGGCAAGTTGATCCACTGGGGCCGCAGGCCACGAATCAGCGCACAAGTGTGGATAACAACACGCCTAGACATCAGACGTCTAGACAGTTTTCGAGTGCTTTATGCTGACGTAGTGCACACACACACAACACACACGACACACTCGCACATACAGAGCGAGAAAGAGTTGCCGACAAGCGTCGCAGCCAGAGGAAGCCATTGCTCATAATTAGCCAGCAAAATAATGGGAAATTTACATACGCATGCATGTAGTCAACAGAGATTAGAGACTCGAAATATGTATTATAAAATATCTGCAGAGCGAAAAGTGCAATGCAAGTTATTCGAAATGACAGATGACAAGCAGCGCTGAAGATTCTTAGAAAACTTTAATTAGTTGTGATGAAGTAAAACTTCACATCTGTGAAACTGATTTAAATTATGTTTGAAGACATTTGTCACAGTCTAAACGATGCATAAAAGTTATTGCAGACAAATGCCTGCTAAGTCCTATAGCTCACAAATGCCTTTTAAGTCTTCTAACTTGAGAAACGCAAAGTATTAATATACATTTTTTATGACTTTTTAACATCAAATGGAATTTTTTGAAAAAAAAAGATGAAAACCTCATGAAACTGAAATCAAGGGTTCAGAGTACGATTTGGTATTCACTGCTTGACTTGAGTTTTGAGCAAATAAAATACGGTTCAGTTGCTGTTTAGAATACAAAATGTTTCACTAAATATATTAGAATATATTTATTTAAACTGAAGGTTAATTTGAATGTCAAATAATATTTTCTTATCTAATTACAAGCACACACACACAAATTTAAGGAATTTATATCTAAAAATCCTTTGCATTGCTGTCTTTTGATAACCGTCATCAAGTTTGCTGATCTAACGTTTTGGTTAGTGGCTGCTTTTGGCATCTATGAAACCCCTTTAGAGCCCCATGCAAGAGTAACATTTCAAAGGAAACTGCCCTGTCACCAAAGGCAGCTCGGCGTGTGTGTGGCATGCGCCCTGTGACATGTCTGTGGCACGTTGGCCTGCGGTGCAGAAGACAAATTCGCAATATGTTTACTGCAGTTGAGTCTCATTATTCTTTTTGTATTTGATTCGATAATAACGTTTTCCAAAATGACATTTCAGTCGACTTTCGAGGGGAGCTATAGAAATTGATTTGACTGCCAGGCCAGGTCGTAAAGACGTACGCATATTTATGAAGCGCATAAAAATTATTGACATATATGGAGTCATAAATACCCACGCATATGTACGTCGGTAAGCACTGTATGTCCATAATAAAAACGAGAAGCAAAAGAAAGAAAAGCCACCCGAAAATCTCTAAAGCATTTTTCGTTTGCTAAGAAAAAAGCGAGTAAAAATGTTTGGCTCCCATAAAATTGTGCGCTTTGAGAGGCAGGTCGTAAATGCAATTTGATTTTGATTGGACTTGGATTAAAAGCAAATAAAGCAGACATCTTCTCAAATGCCAAGTTTCGAAGGTTTGCTGAGTAAAAGACATTTACGATGGCGTTTTTGGCTTAATGTGTGCGCGTTTGATGGAGGGCCAAACTGGCTGAACTGCTCGATTGTGGCATGCATGCAACACCTGCAGCTGCAACACTGCCACAATTCATATGTTTCCAAACATAGCCGACAGCTGACAGCCTGATAATTTTTGTAGAAAGTTTGGCGACCTTCCGACGTCCTCAAACAATATGTCTGCGATTAGCTTCCGTTCAATTTGCAATTTATTATCATGCATAGAGCACGAGTTGAAGCCATGGATAGGCATCAGAGCCAGTCAGCCTGCCAGCCAGTGGCTTCCGGAACACTCATAACAATTTATGCTGTCGCCGCTCTGCATGCCTATCTGGCGATGTCTTTTATGGCCATATGCATAATATTTTTATAGACTTCTCTCTCTCGGATGCTGCGCGAGACAATTGTAGACTAGCAAATGGAACTAGCGAATATGTTGTGGCAATTGCCGTCGTAAATGTGTATTGAGAAGATGTTTTCCCCCTAATAAGCGCCCATAAAGTATTACAGCATAAATTTGACTACAAATCTTACGCTTATTGCCACAATATGGAGACTGCCAATTAATATGGATGCGCATATGTATTTATGTTAACTGATTTTGTGGCTTTTATGATATTGTTTTCATGAAATTTTTGGCAGTTGGCGCCACAAAGTAGCCAAAGCAAGGACATGCGCGCTATATAAGTAATTTAATATAATTTAATTAGGCTTTAAATCAACTCTGCATTCATTCAAAGCTGATTTAATTATGGACAAACAAAAGAAAAAGAACTGATTCCAATCAATCAATTAATTTATTCATTTGTATATCGAACTGAACTGAATGAACTGAGATTGATTAGAATAAGACGCACGAAAATACACAGCAATTTAGACAAATTTCTTAAAGATCAAATATTTTATTGCTTTTTATTTCATTTCATTACACTCCCAACAATTGTAAGCTGCACAAAGCTCTTCTAGTTGCACGCAAACAATTTAAAGGGAAAGATTTAAAAACCGTAAACTTAAAGACACACAAAAAATATATGTATAAATATACGCAAAAGTGGCCAACAACTAACTAAAGAAAGGAAGAAAAAAATATATAAAAAGTATTAAAAAAAAAGAGAAAAAAATATACAGAATGCGGAAAAAGTTCGACAGCGAGCGACAAACAAAATGCGAGTGCAGAGCATGCGAGGCATGGGCACAATAACAATTCAAGCGTATACAAGTCGACTTCCGGTTTGGCAAGGACATTTACCCGAATTCTGCGCAATATATGCAAAAGCACACACACATACACCCATACAGAGAGAGCCTAACATGCATGCATATGTATTGTCGCCAGGGCTTGTAGTTCCTGTTGTTGTAGCTGTTTTTCCCGTTGGCAAACAAAAGACGCAGATTCCTTTTTCCTTTCCTTTCCTCGCTTTTTTTTTTTGTTTGGCTTTATTGACGCTGCTGGAAAAGCTTCAGTGTTTGCTTTTGTCCAAAATGTTCTTTAAATCGGAAATCAAAAATAGCTGCACTTGTGGCAGCTGTAGGGAGCGGACAAGGGGGCAACGAGTCATTTGCATATGCCATTGTTGCGTGCGAGTTAGTCACAGATACATACATACATACATACACATATGTATATATAATTGATATGATTGACACATCAGGGTACAGCCTGAAACTTAATCATAAGTAAATGCATTTGAAAGCTCTTTGTGAAAATGCATTCTAAGCTGAAAATAGTAAAGAAATTGGCACATTTTTTGGATTACCTATTTTTCCTATATAGTGCTATAACACCCCAAGACATTTCATTTCAAAATAATCATGTATATTTGTTTTTAAATTTATTGTTTTGTTAGCGCTCTTTGAAGATTTTAAAGCGCTTTTTGTTCACATTATTTAATGCGCTGCGGTTGACAGTTTAATGGAAAATGCAATTTATTCAAATGCATATGCAATTCGTGCGACAGCTGACAATTTGTTTGCAATGAACATAAAGATATGAGCAGCAACAGCAACAATAACACGAACAATAGGTGCAGCTGAAAGCGCATAATTGTAAGAAGTGTCGGGAAATTAATTGGACATGATATCGAAGTCGAGAGTTTACTGGCTGACAGGCACATTAAAGTACATGTGTCTGCGTGTGTGTGTGTGCTTGTGTCGGTGTGTGTGACTAGCACATCAGGCAGTCTAAGCAAATATTAATTAGTTTAATTAAGTAAATGCGTGCTCAGCGCTTTGCGCCTCGCTCCCACACTCACTCATCCAAAGTGCAAACAACGCGCAGACAACGCGTCGTCAATGAAATTAACATAATAAGTGTGTGTGCACACACACCCACGCACACACAGAAACAAACATGTTTGCGTACACAAAAACATGATTACATACAAATAATCAAACTTGTTCGAAATACCAAATTTCTACTTTTTTTAAAAATTATTTATTATATAAATAACAAAAATAAAAAATCTCAAGAAACATAAAAACGCTGAAATATTCATTTAAAATTTTTTTTATTGTTTAATAGATATATATTATTCTTATATTATTGTAACAATTTTTATTTATAAAATTAAAGTTTTTACATATTTAAGTTTTATTAATTAAAAACTCCAATCAATTTCTTAAATTCTTAAAAATAATTTTTTAGTTTTTAATTTTCGTAGCATACTTTTGCGGGCTTACTTTTTGGTTTATTTGCTGCACATATGAACAACTTTTTGCCAGATTTGAACATTTTAACTTGCAATTTAACGGTAACGTGCACCGTTAAAAGTTGATTAAAGTTTTTAAATTGAAATAACAAATATTAAGTTACTTTCGCAGCGAGAGATCGCAGTTCTTTGCCTTTCACTTTACGCATGACTCACAGCATTTCACTATCTAAGCAACTCTCTATGTGTGCGTGTGCGTGTGTTGGTGTTTGCCTGTGTGAGTGCAGCGTATTTGTGTTGGCCAAAGTTAAAAGTAAATAAACAACATTTAAAGCTTGCACTTTGGCTACATTTGCCGACGCCGGCGATAGTGTCCAGCAAAGAGAGAAATGTCAAAATGTCATTTGATTGAAATGGGATATCTCAGTCACAGGCGCCCGCCAGCTCCTTTGCCATATTTGTCTCTATACATCTGTGTCTGTCTGTGTGTGCCGCTGTCCTTTGTGCCACACAGCAGACACCCTGTACTCCCGCCCCAAGCTTTTGGGTGGACTGTTTGGACTGTGTTTGCGTTTTGTCAATGTCTCTGCATAAACTTTGTTGACAGGCGCTCATTTGTGCCGGACTCTGACTCTCCGACCTCTTGTCTTGGACTCGAATTGCAATTCGAGTTTGAGCAGAGACTGCTTAAGAAAATTTGTTGACCAAATATTGAACGAGTATAAACTATGCTAACTATTTACAATAATATATATATGCTTGTTCTCCTCTTCCAGATCATGTGCGCGAATTCACATGCGGCAAGCTCTACTACCGCACGTTCCACTTGAGTGAGGAGCGCGACTCGCTGTATGTTGGCGCCATGTGAGTATCCGATGTAATCCAAATGCTTAAATGCTGACCATGTTGAAATCCGATTCTCCTTTCTCTCTAATCGCAGGGATCGTGTATTCCGTTTGAATTTGCAAAATATATCCTCTTCCTATTGTGATGTAAGTATGAATGCATTTATTGCTACCTATTAATTTATAATAAACTGGCAACGACGAGAGCAAGAAGAGCAACTATAGCAACTATGCAGGGCAATAACAATAAGCATATATAATCCTGGCATTTGCTTTTAGGCTAAGCTCCCACGAGCTCCGTTTGTTTTGCTCGCTTGTCGAGTGGTCTACTGGATGTTGCTATTGTTGTCATTGTTGTTGTTGTTCGCAATTCCCCTGGCCACAAATCTAACAAGCAGCGAGCGCACATAAAACGTGTAGCACGCTTTTAGGCAAACAAGCTATGCCACGCTGCGGCACATTTTTAAAAATTCATTACGCGCCTTCCGCACAAACTTTTCCATGTACACACCCACACACACGTACATTTATGAGTGTATGCGTGTGCATACACTAGTGTGTAGTTGCCAAACAGCCGCTGCTGGCCTAAGCCGCCTGTCCTTTTAGCCTAATACTTTTTATCGTCGGACGTTGTCAACACACTCAGCTCATGGGGTCAAAGGGCATAGGAGCCGCGCGCATCAAATGCGAGCCACAAATCTTCGATTCCCCGATGTAAGCGAGTGAAAAATATCTGTTTTAGTTACTCAGCTACCAAAATCCAACTGCCAACGTGTCCCTGTCCACCTAACAGCCGGAAAACAAAAAGAGCCCCAAAAAACAAGCAAAGCAGAAAAAAAGAAACATATTTAATATGCGCTCTGGGGGCTGCATTATGGGCATTTCGCTTTACCATGCAGGAGCCCAGATTCCACGTTTCGTGTGGTAATGGCTCAGTGCCGCATAATTTATGTACACTGAGCGAAATTCATTTCACAGATTCAGTTTGCATGGCATTTATGTTGTAAGAGGAATAATATTACAAATTTAATACAAAAAAATATAAAAAAAATTCTAAAAAATCTAAGGGTGTAGCAAGTTAAAATAAACAGCTTTATAAATTATGTTAACTAGCTTAACTGGGGTTTACAGTGAGTTGTTAATTAAAACTGTTTTTTTTTTTTAAATATTTTTTGTTTTTATTATTTTTAATTAAATTAGAAAATGTTATTAGCAATTTTTTATAGAAGTAGCTTAAGAAAACATAAAATAAATTTGAGTGCTTAACTAACTGCCAGTTAACGGTGCACTTTAGCCAGTGTGTACACACATTAAAATAATTTGGCAATCTTATAAATAAACTCAATTATTTTTGCGTATATTTTGAGATAAATTTATGTTTGCTTCAGTGAATAAGCTTTTAGAAAAATTAAAAATATGATTTATATGCATTCATGCATATTTAAAACATAAATCTTAATAATTATGTTAACTTAAGATTAAGCTGAGCTGAAATTCGAATCAATATTTTTAAAATGCACAAAAGAACTATAAAATAATGTTGATAAAGAAGAAATATTATGAGAAATTTCTATCTGTTAGCCGAATAGGTGTAAATGTGTGTGTGTGTGTAATTTGGCTATAAATGCCAAACTTACGAATTATCGAAACTCGTGAAAGTCGATAACACACACCCACACACACACACACTTACACAGTGACAGTGTGTGCGCCTGTGGGAGGCTGTTTATGAATTTATGTCATACAAAAGCTTGTTTTATGAGTGAAACGTTGTGTGTGGCTATGGCTGCGTCTGCCTGCACCTGCAACAGCTGAAACCTGGTCGCAAACGTATCATAAAACCGAAAGACGCCACGTTTTGCTGCCATTTCGAGACGTACGCCCACCTGCCGGCCGCCCATTGGCCCACCTGCTTGCCAGACCCACATTCATATCCCAGCCATATCCATCCCAGCCGGCGTGGCTTGCCAACCGGCATCTGTCAATATATTTTATGTGTTATTTCACACACACACGCGCGCGCACTGCGAGTAACTGCGTTCGCCCTGGGCATCATTTGGTAGTGGCCTATAGGAGTGGCAAGGTGCTCGCTGCGACTGCGGCTGCGGCTGCTTTATGCGGCAAATGCAAATTTTACTAAATAATACATGATTTTGGTTTTATGTGGACGCACAGCGCTGCGCTGCTCTGCTCTGCTCTGCTCTACTCTGCTCTGCTCTACTCTATATATGCTTGATAGGTGGTGCGATGTGGCTTGGTGTGGTGCGTGCGCGCATTTCGCTTGAAAATATTTCGTATGTGCTCGTTACATTACGTGATTTATAAATCAATTTGCTTGAAAGCATGCCACAGGCAGAGCTTGGCCTTCTGGCGTGTTTTCCCTTCCTTTTCGCCCACAGCCAGCGCCTCTAGTTGTAGTTTATGCGCGCGCCTCCAGTAAATGTAGCCCGAAAAGAAAAAGCAAATCGAGAAACCATTTTCGCCCGAGAAACTGCTCCTAGACGCCACCACCAGCGGCTGCATACAAATGTTTTCATATTACAATTTCAGCTTCGACTCGTCCATTAATATGGACCATATGACGTCGAATTGCAATTCACAGTTTATATTCAATTGGGTTTGTAATTGATTAACACCTGTACACGAAAGCAGATCAAAGCATTTAACTTAATCTACGCTAATTTGTATTCCTAATGCTCGCAGAGATAATTTTCGCTTCAAATACAAGCATTCTTTAGAGTTTTATAGATGCCAAAAATAGTAGACAGAATCCAAGATATGCCCAAAAAATACCTAGAGAGATTAGATTGCTACTCAAACAGCCTGTCTAGACATCTGGGTACTACAGCCCGCAGATCTGCTAGCATCCGCACTGGAGCTCAGACGCCTCCAACCCGAAGACTCACCTGACTGGGACATGACCTAAAATATATAAAATATCACCTTAAGCCTTCTCTATAGTTACATTCTCTAACTTCTAGCTCCTCTAAGCTCTTTATGCTATGTTTCTCATCGTACATAGCTCTAAGAAAATATATTTACTAAGTATAATCAGTAACTACTTAAAAAGCTTTGACTTTAAAATAAAAATATCTATATAAAATTAGTCTAAATTCTCTTATTAATTAAATTTCTTTGTTTTATAGCGCGATGTCATAAACCTGGAGCCAACTCGCGATGATGTCGTCAGCTGTGTGTCCAAGGGCAAAAGTCAGGTAAGCTCACAACTATTTACAGTTATGCTAGGTACAAGGAAATCCATCAATGCGCTAACGTTTTGCATTTACATCGACTCTATTTATGGCGTTGCTCCATAAGTCGCTAATAGCAGCTGCAATGTGTCATGCTCAATGGCTGATTGATTTTTTTATCATGTACTGGCATCGCGGCAGCAGCTACTGATTACACACGCACACATACACACACACACACACATAGTCATTTATATATATTATATACAATGAAGTAGCGTCTGGGCTGAATCAATTTCTTTTGGAGAGCGCAGGCGAGTTGCTCCAATTTCCAAACGAAATCCGATTCCTATTTCTATATCGACGACTCCTGCTCGGATTCGCATGACGCATCCAGTTTCAAGTGCTGCGCTTTGCAAATGCGGCGCTGAGGCTGGCGCTGGTGCTGACGCTTCTGTTGGCTGTTATTGTAACTCGTTTATAATGTGACAGCAAATCCTTTCATTTGAAATCTCTTTCAATTTATTTGTGGCTTTTCAATTTGTAGCGAGTTTTTCGTGCGCTACAGTTTCAGTTGCATGCCACACAGAGTCGCAGCATATGTGTGTGTGTGTGTATATATATATATCTGATTGTGGCTTGTATCTAGATGTCAATTGAACTGTTTTTGGTGCACACTTGCTCCATCTGCGGGCGTGTGTGTGTTGCTTAAGTCATCATAATGCTGCTGTGCGTCTGTGGCAGGGATTTACCAGCATTGCATTGTTGCCAATTGATTTAGCGGCAGTGGCTGCAGCGACGCGTGCTATTACAAATTGTACTATTTCTGCAACACACACACACGCACAACTATAAAGTTTTGATTTATTTTTATGTGTGTGTAAGCTTGTTGTGGCAAGCCACGATGCGATATCATCTCTTTTTACAATTATTTTTCAATGCTTCTTTGCAGGTCTTTGATTGCAAGAACCATGTGCGCGTCATACAATCAATGCAGCAAGGCGATAGGCTCTATGTTTGCGGCACCAATGCACACAATCCCAAGGATTATGTCATCTATGTAAGTACAAAACACGCCTTCTTCCCTCTCTCTATAGCTCGTTGCTGCTCAAGGACAAGTTTTGTAGCAATGATAACGCAGCTACGCAACTTTTCAAAAGATTTTCCAACAAATATCAAGCGAGCTCTTGTATGACTGTTGACTTTAGATCGCAATCCTGGAACAGCCAGCCACACACACAGAGAGCGAGCGACAGAGAGAACACAAAGCAACGCATATGGCCTTTTGTATATATGAACTGAATAGAGCTTGTTCTTTTACGTCGTTCTTTCTTGTTCATCTAGTGCCTGGCATATGAACTATGTATATGTATATATATAGATACATGAGTTATACAACTTTTGTGTTGACTACTTGTTGTGAAAATAGTCATTAGTGTGCAGGTGCAGCCAAGAGCTGCTCGCAGCTCGCATACAAATCACACACACAGAGCCATGGCAGCTGCACATCCAGCTACCTATGAGTGAGCAAAGCCGAACAATAAACCGTGCATTTTGATTTGGCAAAAACTGAAACTAAAAACAAGTACGAAAACTAAAACGAAACTAAATGCAATATTTGGCAAGTTTTTAGCACTTTGTATTCAGCATTTCGGGAGCTGGCAGCAGCTCAACAATTAGCAGAAACTTATTTGGGCTTTCGTTGCACGTGCTCGGACAAGCATTCAGTGGGAAAGACAGCTCAAAAAATATAGATAAAAATGGAATGAAAACATTATATAATTAAATGACTAGAGTAAAGTATAAAGAGCAGTTAAAATATCATTAAATAGGCGAGATGTAAAGAGAGTTTGAAGAAATGTGATCGATTCAAAGAGATCCTAAAGATGTATTCTAGGAAAGCATAACAGAGATTTGTTTATGTTTTAGTAAAATTCTTTTACTGTCTTTATTATGAATTACAGTTGAGCTGTTCTAAGCCAATTTGTCTTATTTCTATAATTATAATTTTCTATTTAATATATATATTTCTGTCTCACAATTTCAGTCGAATTTGACACATTTGCCGCGCTCGGAGTATGTGATCGGCGTGGGATTGGGCATTGCAAAGTGTCCCTATGATCCCTTGGACAACTCAACGGCCATTTATGTGGAGGAAGGTAATCCAGGCGGACTGCCTGGCCTGGTAAGTGTCCCATTCAAGAGCTCAGCTACGTAGCCATTTAAATAAGTAGTTCGAATCAGTGTGTCTCACTTCTCTGCTGTTTTGTGTCTTTTGCACAGTACTCGGGCACAAATGCGGAATTCACCAAGGCTGATACTGTGATCTTTCGAACGGATTTGTATAATACGTCAGCAAAGCGCCTGGAATACAAATTCAAGCGCACGCTCAAATATGATTCCAAGTGGTTGGACAGTAAGTAGAAAAAGGGAAAAGCCACGGGCTGCTGCCGCTGCTGTCTTTGCTCCAGCTTCTGCTTCTGTGGCTGCTCTAGATAAAATTGAAAAAAAAAAGAATGGATTTTGTGGCGCGTTGAAAATGATTTCGCGCATGGGATTCATTGTTTGTATTGGCACGCACTGTTGGGAGTCGTTGTCTACTGATGCGATACAGAAGCAGACGAGGACTAAGGCTAAGCGGCTTAGGCCATCCAATTATGTAGATCGTTACTCACAGAGGGTCATCAATCTCGCGACGCGCTCTTTTATTGCAGAACCCAACTTCGTGGGCTCCTTTGACATTGGCGAGTACGTGTACTTCTTTTTCCGGGAAACGGCCGTGGAGTACATTAACTGCGGCAAGGCGGTCTATTCGCGCATCGCGCGTGTCTGCAAGAAGGATGTGGGCGGCAAGAATCTGCTGGCCCACAACTGGGCCACGTATCTGAAGGCACGGCTAAACTGCAGCATTTCGGGCGAATTTCCGTTTTACTTTAATGAGATACAATCGGTTTACCAGCTGCCCAACGACAAGACACGCTTCTATGCCACGTTCACGACCAGCACCAATGGCCTGATTGGATCAGCCGTATGCAGTTTCCACATCAACGAGGTGCAGGCCGCTTTCAATGGTGAGTGCAGGTCTTAAATATAAATAAATATATATATATAGAAAAAGAGAGAGAGAGAGTATGATTGTTAAGTGCTGTGTGCAAAATGGATGTGATGAACGAACGTTATCCTGGCCACAATGTTGCCAACTGTCAACGTCAAGTGATGTGCAATTTTCTCTTTTGTTTTCCGCCCACTCCCCAAGTGCTTTGAGTGGAAATAGAAGTTGAAATAGAAATAGAAATAGCAACAGCAACAGCAATAGCAATGGAAATGGCAAATGCAACTTATCGGCAAATTTTATTTGCAAACGCCAGCACCTTGGGTTACAGCTGGCCCCTATGCGATTCACATCGCACACACACAGCGTTTCACCGGACGGGGACAGTTCGAGTTTAACAATAAATCCAATAGGTTGCACAGATCCAATAGTAACAGAGCAGAGCACACATAGCACTCAGGGTGTTGAGTGTTTTGTAATTTCGCTTGCCGTGGAGCAACATAAATCGTATTAGAAAATCCATTTGAATGGATTATAGCCCCCACGCACACACACACACACACAGCCACACACACACTCGTTTGCTCGTTCGCTCGCTTAACGCTTAGCTGCACAACAGCTGACACTTTGGGGTCGCAGATTTAAAACTTCATTGCAAACACTTGCCAGACACACACAGCACAGCACAGCGCTGCGTGCACCTGAAGTATCCAACTACGCCAGTTGCTAGTGCATAACTCTTAGCCATAATCCTTTTCACATATACACACACACGTACACATATATATACATATTCATTTTTCTTATCTTATATTTGTTTTGCTCACTTGCAGGCAAATTTAAGGAGCAATCCTCTTCAAACTCCGCCTGGCTGCCGGTGCTGAACTCCCGCGTGCCAGATCCGCGACCCGGCACATGTGTCAACGATACCTCAAATCTGCCAGATACCGTCCTCAATTTCATACGCTCGCATCCACTTATGGACAAAGCCGTAAATCACGAGCACAACAATCCGGTCTATTATAAAAGGGATTTGGTGTTCACAAAGCTCGTTGTTGACAAGTAAGTTTTATTTCTACTTGTTATCTGGCTGCCCTGCCTCTCACTCACTGTGTATCCATGTACATACATATATTCACATTCATTCCAAGTACACACACACACACACACACATACACATGCACCGTGTCCGGCCGAGACTGAACTCAGTTTGTTACACTTTTTTTATTTTTTAATTTATTTGCATTTTTCGATTTGTTCCTCTTTGTGGCTTTTCTCTGCTAAAGTGAAAATCAATGTACGAATATTTATTTTTGTTTATTCGTTTGCTTTAAATAAACCAAGTGTTGCTTGTTGCCAAATTGAATACAAATTTGGAATTTCAGACATTTTCTACTTCTCCCCTCTGAAAACAAAGCCCCAAATATCTTTTGTGCTGAGTGAATTTCGAGGTATTTCAAGTTTTGTTCATTGAAAATCCTCTCAGCCCAGCCCAAATTAATGTCATTATAAAAGAGTAAAAGTAACTTAGATTAGATCTGATATTGAATAACAATGACAACATTTAATTAATTAATTTTAGTCTTTAAATATATCAAAAGCAATTAGCTAATGTTGCTACTGGTAATTCTTTGACCAAATTGAAATGCTTCAATTGAAATCAATTTTGTATTTTAAATACCTTTATCACATAGTTGCAATTATATTATATAAAGTTTACTTTTCATAGATCTTTCATTAATTTTGTCAAGACTTTTGTAACCTGAAGTAGAAGGCGTATATAGTCACGTTAGCAGTTGACTCAAATGTATTTACCTTAATTTTGTATCAGAGACAATAACTCAAGCACCTTCTACCGTTTTCAATTCATTTCAATTAAATACTTTTGTCATAATCAATCAGTTTAATACCATGTTTAAGCGCTCTCTGCCCAAGTGCAACTCAGTTTCGACATCTTCTTCAACTCATTTAATTAAAAGTAAAAAAAGTATTTATTATGGCAAATTTATTGATATTGAAAACTTAATTACAGTCGCATATTAAAAATAGATAAATAATATGCAAAAAAAAAGAAAAAAAAGAATTATTTAAACATTAAAAATATATTTTAAATATTATAAACGAGAATTGAGTTTCTATGTGCATTAATTGCGCTGCAACATTTTACGGGAAATCGTGTAACGCATTTTAATAACTGCATTTACAACACACGCTCAGGTGTTGCAAGCTCGTTATTAATGAGAGAGAGAGGGAGAGGGAGAGAGAAGAGAGCAGAAGAAGACTGCACACAGATGCGGCTATTTAATTCGTTAATATGCAGGCCATTTATCATATTAAATAAGCATTTAATTTCCATAACTGAAAAGCAACTGAATGCGACAGCCAAAAGCCATGGATACACACACTCACACACACCCATACCCACACACATAATGCACATTTAAATCTGAGCCCTTCGAATTTATGACTTTCCTTTGTCAGAATCAAAATCGACATACTGAACCAGGAGTACACAGTTTACTACGTGGGCACCAATCTGGGCCGCATCTACAAAATCGTGCAGTATTATCGGAATGGCGAGTCGCTGTCCAAGCTACTGGACATCTTCGAGGTGGCGCCCAACGAGGCCATCCAGGTGATGGAAATCAGCCAGGCACGTAAGTCGCTCTATGTGGGCACCGATCATCGCATCAAGCAAATCGATTTGGCCATGTGCAATCGCCGTTACGACAATTGCTTCCGTTGTGTGCGTGATCCGTACTGCGGCTGGGACAAGGAGGCCAACACGTGCCGACCATACGAATTGGATCTGTTGCAGGTAAGTGGCACGCTGTGGCTTCAGCGTTAAGCACTGCTTACACTCTCACCAATCGCTGCAGGATGTGGCCAACGAGACGAGCGACATCTGTGACTCGAGTGTGCTGAAGAAGAAAATCGTCGTCACCTACGGCCAGAGCGTGCATCTGGGCTGCTTTGTGAAGATACCCGAGGTGCTGAAGAACGAGCAGGTCACCTGGTATCATCACTCCAAGGACAGGGGACGGTAAGTCGAATCAACTATGCGCCTCTTTGCCCACACACACATACACACACAATACACACAATATAATTATTCTTTGGCCAGCTATGAAATCAAATACAGCCCCACCAAGTACATTGAGACCACGGAGCGCGGCCTGGTTGTGGTGTCGGTGAACGAGGCCGATGGCGGACGCTACGACTGCCACTTGGGTGGCTCGCTTTTGTGCAGCTACAACATAACCGTCGACGCACACAGGTAAGTGCCGCCTCGCCCGTGAATATCCCTAAATTGACTGCTAATTACCAAGTCACATCTGTCTGTTACCCCTTAGATGCACGCCACCGAATAAAAGCAACGACTATCAGAAAATCTATTCAGATTGGTGTCACGAATTCGAGAAATATAAAACAGCCATGAAGTCCTGGGAAAAGAAGCAAGCGGTAAGTTATTATCCTGATTGAAATTATCACCGCAGGCAGCGCTAATGAGCGCCACACAACCAGACACATGCACAGGCACAACGCCAGGGGCAGGCACATGCCATAATAAATGATTTGCCTGGCAATTATTTTAATAGCCTGCTGGCTAACTGACACCACAACGTCAAATCACAAACAGTGTAAAGTAGTTAAGCTGTCATTATCTAAACACCAACGTCCAGCGGCTGGCAGGGCCAGTGTGGCTGGCAGGCTCAGCGGTTGCAACCAGGTCGCGTCTCAATATGGTTCGATTGACCGTCGCAACAATTTTACATGTGTGTATGTATGTGTGTTCGTGTGTGCAGGTGCGACCTCAATGGATGGTAATTGCCTACGTGGCGGTGGTGTTGTGTGGCAGGCATTTGGCGCCATATGGACGGAACAAGCAATTAAAATGCAATCATTTGCCGTCCGTCATACCGAGCTACGTAGTAATATGCTTATAATACTTAACACAGCTGTTTACGTCACGCATTTAATTTGTCAACTTTTGACTTTTCGTTTCTTCTAGCAATGCTCGACTCGCCAGAACTTCAGCAGCAATCAGCATCCCAATGATATCTTCCGCAAGAACAACGTTTGATACCCCGACAATAGCATCACGGTCACCATGCCCTCATCCATATCCATTAAGCGTTTCTACTAAGCCGTCAAGAGTTCCCAGACACAAAAGCAAAACAACTGCATCAAATCAAATCGAATCTTATTGGAGTTAATCAAACATAATAGACCGCCTACTTGGACTTAAGTTGCCACATAGATCAATATCCAACATCGTCATCATCATCAGTATCTTCGCCATCATCGTCAATCAATCATTATGATAAACTTAAGCATGAACTCCTAGAAACTGCATTTATATGAATATCTACGTACATATGTATAGAGAACCTCTTCCAGTACAGTGCATTTATTCAACATACTCGATTAATCGATGAGAGCTGATGAGAGATATTAATAAATAACTAATACAAAAGAGACACTTGTCTATGGCATATAGATACAGATACAGTTACAGTTACAGTTAAACATAGCTAGCTACAAAAAGTGAAATAAAAATCAATTTACAACTGCCGCTCGCAAACGCAAACAATATTTAAGTGGAAATAAAATCACTTCATATCGTTATTATAAACATTTAAATCTAATTAAAATAAATACAATTAATTAAGCATACTTAACGCAACGTTTCAAAATGTTAATATGTAATTCTATCTTAAACTCAACTAAAAGCAAAACAAACGAACAAGTATTACAAGTACATAAACCTTAACACATACATATAAATCACATTTCAAGCATTTTATTCATAAACAAATCAAGAAATATATTTAATATTATATCGAACTATAAATCTATATGTAATTGGAGAAGCAATGTGATGTTAAGTTTTGATAAATTTATGAATTGCCTATTTAAACGATATCCACATACAAACGATTGATTCACGTTCAACAAGAACAAAAACGCTGTAAACATACATAAACAATTAACACACATGCTAAGCAGCTGCCGCATTTAATACGCACACATAGTCGAAGTATACATATTAATATATATATATATATTAATGAGAATCTGCTTTTCAAGAACTTTTCAATAAGCAATATAATCGTATAACAAAACATAACAAAACATTGAAGCTGAATTACATAAAAATAATTTACACTTAAACATAATATATATAGCAAACAATTTACATCAAATCGGTCCATAGTTATATACGACATAATATAATATATACATTATATATAATAGCAAAAGCATTTCGTCATTTATGCCGTTTCACTTTCAAGTCTACTTTCACTCATTCAAAGTCCTCGATCACCACACTATTATGTATGTAAAATTGTTGCATGTGTTATTTACTAAATTTGATTTTACAATATTTCCGCTGACTTGCCGAGAGCAGAATATGAAATTATGGAAACATGAATTTTTAGCATACTTTTCTATCTGTACTTAAGTTAAATCGACGACATTTTAGTTTCTAAGCGTTTAGTTGTAAAAAAAATTAAATTTTTAATAAAAAATTATCTATAAAGTAAGCAAAAATATTTTTATGTACTGTACTTTGTGGGTCTAAAAAATATAATCAACTTTATTTCTTCATTAACTTTAAGTGCAGAGTAAGTTGTACTTTGTGTAGTTAAGGGTATATTAGCTTGGCAGTACATACAAATATGTTTTTAGATTAATATATGTTGTATGTAAAATGAAAGTCAATACAAATTTTCGAACACTTCGGGTATGGGATTGAAGCCAACTCTCTGTAATGTTATTAGTTCCTAGATAATATATAAAATTAAACTGTATAGAAATCCGAGTTGGTTCAGCTTCAAAACTTCGTTCTCAACGCTATTCTCAATATCATCTTAGTTCAACTCCCTCAAACAACTCAAAATATATAAGCAAATTTTAGCAAATATAGAGTATGCCGCAGTCGGTTATCCAACTGCAGCCCGTCTACAAATTCTTATCAGAATCGCACAGCGCAAGGCACATTTTCATGCGTAACTACCCCAAATTGTTGGCCATAAGGAATTAAAGACAAGGCGAAGAAAAAAGTTAAGGCGCAAATAACAATCACAAAAGAATTAGAAAAGTTGCCGAAACAGAAATTAAATCAGTCTCTTAAAAAAGCGAGAGGAAAAAAGGAAGAGCAAAATGAAAAGCAACAACAAAAAAGTACTTGAAAATAATTTGCCACGGCTAATTTGACAGCAAGTCAAATGAAATATTGCAGCCATATAGATATATATATATAAACCATCTGAAATTTGTGGGTCAAGTAGATGATTTGTGTTTTTGACTTAATTTCAGCACAATTTTATTTGAAATTTGTGAGTTTGATTAAAATTGTAGAGTTTGGCCGGGGCTAATTAAAGCGCTTTGGCTTATATCTAAAGGTCGAGTCGAGGTGGGGCGCTCGCTCACACTCCTGTTGCCCAGTTCGCTGAGGCTCTAGGAAAATGTTCGTCTTTGTTCTTAAAAATTATCGCACAGCAAATAAATTTTGCTGGAATCTGCGCCTGTCATTGTCGTTGTCTTTGTTGTTGTTGCTGTTTCTGTTGCTGTTGCTGTTGCTGCCCTGCCAGTCCTTGTAATTGTTTTAGCATCCTTTTGCTCGCTGCAGGGTGCCATAGCCTGGCCAGCGTGGACTGCCTGGCCTGCCCGGCCTGCCTGCTTGAGCATATTACCAAAAATGGTTGTCAACACTTTGGCGCAAAAGCTTTTAGAATTCATTTCGGCGCCTTCCACTCTTGGGGCCCGGTTAATGGTGCTCGCGGCCATTTTTCCACGCTTTGTGTAATTTGGTGCTCATTATTTTATTGTGTCCAGCGCACGTTGAATATCCAAATTGCAAATTTTAGCCGAAACCCCTCGAGCAGTTAATCTCTTTTTGTTTCTTTTTTTTCTTCTTCTTATATTTATTTCGATTATACGGCAAATACCATTAAAAAACAATTTAAAGTTTATCGCACGCAGAGTGAAAATAAAAGAAAAATAATTGTCTATTTCGTCTAATTGAATCTGGCGCCAGAAATTGCATTGAAATTTGATCAGTTAATAGAAGTGTGCGAAGGCCTCGATTACAGCCAGGTACAATTAATTCAGGTGGCGCAGCATTGTTCGTTCGTTTGGTTGGCTGCCAAACCATGACAAGCAACTGATGCGCAACAGACCGTAAGTGTTTGCCTGGCCCATGTAGTACACTGAAATTTACTTAAGAGACACTCACACACACGCACATGCACACACGTGCTTATGCCAAATAAGCCCGCAGCAGTCTATGTCACATTGCGCATACGCAACGTGGCCCCTATGTGTGCTACGTGCTTTTCTGTTGTTGCTGCTGTTATGCTCAAACTGTTCGACTTCTTCCGTGCAGACAATTAAAATCTGGCAGCATTTTACTTGTAAGCCGCTTAATAGGACTGCGAAGTCCTTTTGCACAGCTGCAGCATCAAATGCGACCCGAAAATGTGTTCATGCGTGAGCATCGCACACACACACACACACACACATGGGTCACAGGCCAGGGATCAGGAGGGAGGTTACACTCGGTGCGAGTTGTATGCGAGCGTGTTAACTGAAGCTAGACAAAGTGCATGGCCAAAAGTTGAGAGCGAGCCAGCTAAATTATGGCTTAAACTTTGCTTTATGCCATTTCGCATGCTACCTGGCCCCAAACTGACTTCAACTATGCCTTAAAGCTGGACTTAAAGCACATTTAATAACGTACAATTTCTATTCCATTTGAATTGGGCAAAACTGAAAGCGCAAAAGGCAAAGATTGCGCCTCGGGCAAATCGCTTGAAATGAGCTTATCGGCGAGCACATTGCATAATTCCAACTGAGTGCGCAAAAACAAATGTTAATTTAAAATGAAATACTTTGAACTATTCAACTTAAGCAAATATTTTATCATCCAACAAGGCGACATTTATGATTGTACTACGAGGCAAGCAGTTGGACCAAAAAGCTAAGCCACAAGCTTCGTCTCTCCCACTCTGTTGTCCCTTTGTCTCTGTTTGCATTACTCTTTGTGGGTGTGGGTGTGTGTGGGTGTGTGTGCTTTGCTGCAGGACATCCATTTGCTGGTATCTATCTGTCTTGGTCGTGTGTCTGTGTTATCAAGCGAGCAGGTCAAGCGCAAAGGTGAGAAATAACAAAATTTCAAATTTGGTTTCGGGCATTTCAGCTGCTGCTGCTGCTGCTGCTGCATCAGGATTATTGGGTTAATTTGCACACCCTAAACCAAGTCCAGTTCCAGATATGTCCAAACACACAGACTTGCTTGGCCCATGCAAGACAAATACCGAGCTACAAATTCGTATTTCCATTTGAACACTTTTATGCTTCTGGCACTTGCCAGTTGCCAGCTCTCAGCTCTCAGTTGGCAGTTGGCAGTTGGCCGTGCTCAAACATTTTGCCAAAGATAAATCCAAACTTTGCTGAACTAAAATTGAATTCCATTTGCTGCTTGACAAATACAAATCGTAATTATTTGTGCATGGCCAGCACGATAAGCATTATTAAAACTGCACAAATAATATGTGAATACAGACGATGCTAAATTTTAATTGCAAATTTAAAGCAATTTATTACTCGTCGTGAACGTGAACGGAGCAATGGCAGTTAGTTTCGATATGGCAGCTTACAGATAAAGTAGACATTAATTAGTAACTGTAAATGTTATTATATAATCAAATTGAAATCAGTTTAACAATATATCAAACTCTACTCTAAGGAAGGCTTTGTTGAGCTCCCTTTTATAGTTGGGAATATATATATATATATATATTGCTCCTTTAAGATTCCTTTTCTGTTAGGTATATATATATAAACAAATATACACAAATCAATTAATATTCACAGCCAGTCAGAATCCAAAACAGTATCGGCAGTCTAGAAATCAAAATTTAGCTAAAAATCCAATTAATTGAAATTCTACAACAAAAACAAACGCAAGCATCATTAAAAATTATTTTTTTAATATTTTATTTATGTTTTATAATATTTATATATTACATTTTGTTTTATTTAAAATTTCTTATACAATTTTTATACTAATACATATTAAATATAAATATATATTTAATTTAAATTTAAACTTAAATTAATGTTTATATATATATATATATATATATTTTTTAAATATTTTATTTATATTTTATAATTTTCACATTATATATTTTATATTTATTTTTATTTATAAAAAAAAAGAAATATATATATTTAATATATTTATATATATTTCTATTTTCTATATATTTTTTTTTTATAAATTTTATAAATTATTCTTTAAGTACTTTCATTTGACAAATTTATGTGTTAAAGTCGAAACATAAATTTCCAATCTCAAAGTGAGTTGTGGCTCTTGGCCCAGCCACCTGTTTATTCACATTAATTTAAAGCTTGAAGCTTCAATATTTATTAAATGAAAACTTAAATTGTATTTTACAATTGCACGCGCATTCCATACTGAATAAATGCAGTGACAATTAATTAATGCCCAATCACAATATGCATTTATTGACAATAACAAAAGTCTTCAACAAGATAAGCTGGGTTTTACGATAGGTGTGAAATAAAAATGTATAAAATTCTTGATAATTTTTACTGAGCTGCCACAACACAGAGTGAAGCTTGCAGAAGTAGTTGAGCTTAATGCCAGTTGGCTCACGTTTGCCAAAGTTGTCTTTGCTGCTGCTTTAGTTAGCCTTAAAGTGCGGCTGATTAGCCCCTTTAGAGTCTCGTTGCACAAGCTTAAATATTCTTTTGGCCTGCTGTGTGGCATGGCTCGCTTCAAGCGCAGTTTTCGCACCAAAAAATTAAGCCGAATTATGCTTGATTCACTGGCTTGGAAAATTAATTATGTGCACCTATTATTATTATGCTTATCGTTGTTGTTGTGGCTTGTGCACTTGGCCAGCGGCATCCGGCGACAAATTAAAATGCCAATGAAATTCAACGAGGATGAAATGCATTTGCGCTAAGCTGCTTAAATGTTTCGGGATACTGCAAACACCTGACACACGAGTTCAGCTCATTTTCTTATTGAGAAAATGAAAAATTTGGAAAACAAAGTAGTCGCTGCCTTAAAATTTTCGAGCTCGAATCGAGTCGGAGGCAGCTGGGCTATATATCCTCACTTTAGTGCTACTTGCCTTATTGAGCACAGAAACAGCTCGTTAAAAAAAAAATATTTATCATTTATAAATTAGGACATTAAATTTTTCATTTATTTTAAAAATTTTCGTGGAGTAAAATTAATCAGTTAATCATATATTCACGTATATATATTAACAATTCGTGTGCCCCGTTTCTAAACGTAAAACAAAAAACAAAGCAAAATGCCAGCTTGTCGTGAATTGCGTATTTTTAATTCTGCCCGTCGCCTCTTTGGCCATGAGTCTGCATCATTGGGATGTCGTGCATTTTCGACCAAGTGCGACAAGCCCAAAGGAGTTGTTGTCGGCATCTATCAAAAGGATGGCGACAAGCCGATTAAGTCCTCGGAGAATGGTGTGCTGCTCGATGACGCTGTCGGCGGTAAGATAATGAGCCTGGTCCGGGATCGCGGGATGGACGGGCGGCCCGGAAAAGGGCTACTGTTTAATGGACTCGAAGGTGAGTTCCAAACAGTAGCCGTCGTTGGCATGGGTCCGTCTGGCGCTGGGTATAACGAAGCCGAGGAACTGGACGAGGGTATGGAGAACACGCGCATTGCCGCTGGAACTGGCGCACGGGCGTTGCAGCTACAACGCATGTCCGAGGTGCACGTTGATGGTATGGACTTCGCAGAACAGGCTGCAGAGGGGGCGGCACTCGCCGTGTGGCGCTATAACGCCAACAAGCGCAAGAAGAACCGCTTGCCCACACCCAAACTGCACATGTATGGCAAGGGCGACCAAGATGCTTGGGTGCGTGGCTTATTCAAGGCAGAGTCGCAGAATCTGGCTCGTCGACTCTCGGATACTCCCGCTAATCAAATGACGCCTTCTATCTTTGCTCAAGCAACTGTGGACGCACTCTGCCCTTGCGGTGTAACCGTGGAAGTCCGTTCCATGGACTGGATCGAGGATATGAGCCTCAACTCTTTCCTGATGATTGCCAAGGGCTCCTGCGAGCCACCACTGCTGCTTGAGTGCTCATACTGCGGTACGTCTCCCGAAGACAAAGCCGTATTGATGATTGGCCAAGGCCTGACCTTCCACAGCGGCGGCCTGTGCCTAAAGAAGAAAGACGGCATGGATGAGTATCGCGGCTCGATGTCCGGTGCAGCCGTCTGTGTTGGTGTGCTGCGTGCTGCAGCTGCTCTATCTTTACCCATGAATATCTCGGCTGTCTTGCCCCTCTGCGAACATATGCCATCCGGCATGGCCGTCAAATGCGGTGATGTGGTGACCCTGTTGAATGGTGTTACACTTGGCATCAAGAACGTCGACAAAGCACCAGTTGTGATGCTGGCAGATCCACTGCTTTACGCCCAGGCCAACTTCAAGCCAAAGATGATCATTAGCGTTGGCTCCATTGGCGACGGCGTTAACTGCGGTCTCGGCGGCTCTGCCACTGGTCTGTGGAGCAACTCTTCCTATGTCGCCAAGCAGTTCCGCAAGGCGGGTGGCATTACCGGAGATAGAGTCTGGCGTATGCCCCTCTTCCGCTACTTCAGACACATTGTCACTAAGAACACCACCTACGACATGAGCAATTGCGGTCGAGGCCCGGCATCATCTTGCCTGGCTGCGGCTATACTTCACACAATGGTGCCGTGTCTGGACTGGGCGCATCTGGATATTCGCGGCACCGGCATGCTAACAAAGATCAATACTCTACCCTATCTACTCAAGGATAGTATGACTGGTCGTCCCACTCGCACGATCATTCAGTTTATGTATCAGCTAGCTTGCGCTCAAACCTAGGACTGACTTCCATTAGTTTTTCATATGTTTCTTCCATATGTACGTTGGCTCATGTTTAAAATGGACAAGTTAGCGCTAGATAGTGACCTAATTAAACTCTAAATTCAAATCTATCAGTAGTTAATCGAATCTCTGCGTTCGACAGCACGAACGAGATTCAAATGAAGCGTATGGAGAAATGATGAAACCCTTGAAACTGGACTAACTGTTCGTCGATTCCATACAAAACACAAATTGCCTTTTAAAAATTCACTGCTGTAATGTATATTGTTTTTCACCTTTATCGGATGTCGAAAGGAATTTCTGTGGATGATAAATAAAAAAAAATACGTTGAACAATTAAAAAAAATTATTTTGACATTTGGCTGCATCTGAATTGTATGGAAAATCTAATAGTAGAAATGTGAAAGAAAAAGAAGTAAAAATGAAAGGTAGAAATAAGAGATCGAAGCAGAGATGGGGATCAAAATAGAGATGGGAGAAGAAATAGGAATAGGGATGGAAATAAAAAATAGAAGTATAAATATGGATGAGCAAATTAATGTAAATTGAAAAGGAAAAAGAAATGGTATGGAAATGGGAATAGAAATATGGATAGAAATATGGATAGAAATATGAATAGAAATATGAATAGAAAAAGAAATAGAAACATGAAATACAAATGGAAATAGAAATACAAATAGAAATATAAATAGATTATTTATAATTGAAATCAAACAAATTGAAGTTTAGTTGTGAAATTTTAATTGATTTATTAAATATTTCCATTCCAACATTTTTATGCAAACAAATTCTGATCCATTAAAGCTGCAGTTAAATTGATGCCCTGAACCCATTGAAAGTGAGAATTTTGTGAAAGTTTATTTTACAGACAGTATGAGATGTGGCAGGTGTCATAAAATATATATATATTCTGAGCTCATTTAAGTATATGCATTTTCTTGAGTCGATCTAGCCATGTCCGTTTGTCAGTCTATCCATCTGTCAAATTGTTTGTCTGGTCGCAGAATTCCTAGCTTTATCAATCTTTTAGCATAAGCAGCAAAAATACTTTGCACAATCCAGCCTCAGCCGTCTATCCATGATTGTCTGTGTGCATTTAAAAGAAGCGCAGATTGATTGCAATTGTAACTCGAGAGTTACAGGGTATTTCCTAGTCGTTCACCACGTGTTACATTTCGAGGATTGTCAAATTTTGAGACATTTGTAAATCAAAATTGAGTTGTTTTCATTTGCCTGTATAAGCCCATGAGTTATGCTACATTTTCGCAATATATTCAAGAATTTTCGTCTAGCTTACTTAAGCTTATTGACTTATTGACAATTTGTTTTTTTTTTCGGTTTTGCTTAGCGCTTGTCAACCACGCTGCAGCTGTCAGACAGTCTGTGCTGTCATTTTCAATTACGCAACAGACAATTTGCCTAGTCGAAGCTGGAGATGAAGACGAGGACGAAGACGATGTGTGCAGGTGTTGATTGAAGCGCAAATCGAATTTACGGCCATAAACGTTCGCAGCTCCGCTGCTAAGACGCTGTCAGCGACGCGCAAAAGTATGCAAAGCATATATGAGTGTGTGTGCGAGTGTGTGTGTGTAGGTGGCGTGTGTGGGTGTATGAGTGTATGGCTTGACAGCTCCATTTCTATCTTTATTTTTATTTTTATTTTTATTTTTTTTCCCTCTTTGATTTGACGTTCGACTAGCAGCCGTATAAATGTTGTCTGATTAGCGTGTGGCAGCAATTGATTTTCACATTTGATTGAGTGTCTTAAGCTGTGCCTGATCCCCACGCAGCTGTGTGTATGTGTGCGTGTGCTTGACTGCTAGCTTACCTCTACCTGCAGCTCATCAGGTTTGCCAAAGCTGCCAAAGCCAGGCCGTCAGTCAGTGAGTCAATCACTCAGCCTGAACCTGTTCGCCTGGTCTTTGATGTTGGCTGCTGTTATTATTGAGCATAAATTGTTTGACTTTTTTGTCAATGAAATTAGCTTAAAGTCCTTTATTGTGCTGGCCTTGTCGGCACACCTGCCTTAAGCCTTCAGCCTTTGCTGCACGCACTCAGCCGCATAACATTAGGGCTAATCACAGTCGAGGCACAAACAGCAGCAGCAGCACCCAAATGCCACATGCTCTGGCTCAATATTTAATTTGCCAAAATGCACACATGCCTGTGAGTGTGTGTGTATGTTTGTTAGCTGTATTTGCAAATGCAGATGCGGATGCATAGTATTTGACTGCGAGCAGCTGGCAGCTGGCAGTTGGCAAAGGTTTACAGAGTCAACGGAGCAGTTGCAATTGGAGCCCGGCGCTAAAGACATTGTCCTTGCCACCAAAATTCCAAGCTTCACAGTCAGTGTGTGTGGATGTGCGTGCCTGTGGCTGCTAGCATTTGTGTACAATCAAATTTAATCTCGCTTTCAAATGTCAAATCAGAAACTGCTTGATTACACTTTGAAGCGGGGCATCCTACGCAGAGCGCTGGCTGGCAAAACAAACTGAGGCTTTTATTTATTTAATGACTTGGCTGCTGCTCACCTTGGCCAAATCTGGCTTACAAATTCATTTGCTACATTGATTAATTAATGCTAATTTACGAAAATTCCATTTGGCCATTAGCCGCAACCAGAGCCACAGCCTGCACACACACGCGCAGACAGAAAGGACTTGGCTGCGTCTGGCTAGGTATTCTGGCCAACTGTGTGTGCTTAATTTACTGCCACAAGGATATCTACACATGTTTCTGGCTGTGCAACAGCAGCCCACAAATTTATGCCTAGCTCAGATGCGACTATTGTTTCCGAATAACTCAATTTGCTACTGCTGACCTCTAAACTAATCAGGATTAGTTGCAGCAAACAAACAATATTCATTTGAATATGCCTGATGTCAGTTACTTTATGTCCATTGGCAGTGTATAGATTGAGGGATTCGCTGGAAGAGACAGATTTTATCTCCTTATTTAACAAACTTTAATTTCTTAACATTTTTTATATATTTGCTTAACTTTATTGATATGAATCGAACGAGCAAAAGTAGGGAAAACTCTGCTCTGGGCATAAATATATATTAATATTATTATATATATAATAAATATATATTAATATTATATATATATATATTAATTTCTTTATCTTTAAATATTTATATTTATATATTGTATATTGAAGCCACCTACCCACCTTATCTGGTTACGCCTGCAAAGCCACATCCAAATGCAGAATTTTATTTCATTGAAGTAGAATATAATTTGGCTAATACATTAATTTATTCGTCCATATTTGTTATTTCATTATTATTCAGGATTTCATTTCCTCAGCTTTTGTAGTTGATGAGATTTTTGCCGAAGAAAAGACACATAGATAAAGACAAGATTTTATCAGCTTAGATCGTAGTGCTTCTATCTGTTTGTTGTTCTCTTGACTTCAAAGTATAAAGATGAGAGCTTTTGAAACTTAAACTTTAAGTCTAAATTATATAATAAATTACCTTCATCTATTTCAAGGAATCAGCTAAGGCTCGTCTATACATTTTTATGAGACTCTTGATGAGACTCAGGCTTTAGACAGCTGACCAATAGTTCCAAGATTAAAAGTTAAATCTCTAGGCCAAACTCCGCAGTTGACTCAGCTTTGTTTTAAGAAGGCTTTACATATTCTTGTGCGCTGGTTGTTAGCTGCTTCAATAGGTTCATAGTTGTTAGAGACTTGAGTCTTATAATGAGATTGCGGTCAGTCGTGTCACTTGCTACAAGCTGCTGGCGCATCGAGAGCTCAGAATGAGTGAGTGTCTAAGCTGACTAAATATATGTGTGTAATAACAAATAAAAGTAACAATAAGCCTTTATACATTGTTTCGCTCAATTTGAATATGTGAAGTTTATAAAAAAAACAATTTATTACGTGCTTGTTGTTTACATTCTTTTTTAGCATTGCTTAATACTGCTCTTATTTTAAGGAACTGCAGCTCGCTCGCAAGCATAACCAGCTCGAGCGACTGTTTGTGCCGTTAATATTTAATATAATTTATATAGATACTTATTTGGAATGGCTGGAATTGAAGGATTTTATTGGCCATTTGGTGTGCATAAGGACATCAATGGGGGCAAATTAAAAAACATACTCGCAGGCAGCTCGCAATTGGCTAAAATCGTAACAGGCAATTGGCTGTTTGGGTCTTGGCTCAAGCCGTTGCGAGAATCGTACGGATTTTATTGCTTATTTGTTAAATGACTTGAAAAAGTTAATCAAGCGTGATTTTGATACGCCCCAGAGATAACGAATTATTGCTGGTATGAGTTGGTCCTCGAAGCATGTTTCCTTGTTGCCTGTTCCTGCTTGTTTTGTTTGTTTGCCGTGTCGCCGCTTGATCCTTGGGCTGCACCCTCACCCTACCCCCTTCCTGGGGCAGCCGCTACGTGCATTTGCCAAAGGAAAATTTCAATTTGCTTTGGTTTTTCCTCACTTCTTTTTCATGCAAGCTGTTGTAGGAAGTATCTGGGCACTCGCGCGACCATAAACGCAACAGGAAAGCCAACATATAGCAAATCGTCGGCGACACCTGTCGACGCCATTTTATGAATTAATAAAGACGCCCGAAAGCCCCCAAATCTTGCAGATGTATGTTTGTGTGTGTGCGGCAGTGGCTGGAATGGGTTTTTGGTAATCCTGAGAGCAGTGGCAACGGCAACAGCAGCAGCAAGAAGAAGGCGTCTGATTGTGCGTTCAGCTTATTAAACGCATTTTTACAGCACGCTTAACAAGAATTTTCACTTTATATGCAAACATGTGAAACACTATAAACAAAGGACGCCAATTTGCAAGCAAATACACACTCACACATACACACACACATGCTGCCATATAAAGTCACATGCGCCAGTTGTGCGAAAAATTTCCTTTCTATTAAATTTTACAGTAAACTGAATTTACACCCAGGCAACAAGAAGAAGAAGAAGAAGAAGAAGTGGGAATACAGCGCGTTATTAAACAGCATGAAAATTGCCAGGACATAGAAATTGAAGGGGGCAGGTGGGAGGTGGTAGGAGAGGTGGGTGGGGGTAACGCAGCAAGCTCTTTTGGCCTCTCATATTGCCAATGCCAGAGACCGTGTTATAAACAAAATGGCACAAAATGGCGACACCTGCTGTTGCAAATTAGAAAAATAAGATGTTTCATAAA